AAATACCCAATTTTTCATTCAAAGTAAAGGAAGTTCTGAGTCAAACTTTGTTGTGTTCATTATATCGCCAAATAATTCCAGCTTTCTTAAAGGTTTGAGCGAGTTTAGGTTATCATTTCCAATAATGAAAACCATAAAATATTCCCTTATGCAAAGTGGTTACATTATGAGTCCATTTGTAGCATATAAATTTCTTTAATGTAAAAACTTTTGACGAAACTGTATTTTCACGTTAACCCTCTAAGAAATGAATTTTTTATATAAAATACATATAAGTATTCATATTTCCCATGAACATGTGCAGTTTTTGTCCTAAACACTTCATTTAAGTATTAATCCTATTCATAACATCCCAAGATTTAACTATCTTTCGTTAATATATCAATTGTTAATTGTTTTATGTTCAGTGGTGAAACCTGAATTTTATGTGGTAAGATTTGTCAATATTTCGTTTATATATATGCCATATATATATATATATATATATATATATATATATATATATATATATATATATATATATATATATTATATATATCTGTTACTTTACTATTAATCATATCCTTATCCACTTCCAATGAACCTCCCAAACTGAGCAACGTGGTCTTTGTAAAGTCTTGGTAAACGATCAGCTTTTTGTCATCCGCTTTTGTTACACATTTACCGTGATATTATTGACATTATTCGTCTTATATCTTATACTCAATCCTGTTTTCTCAATACGAGAATGATTTTACAAACGTGTACTAAAATTTACCTGTTTATGTTAGGTCTTGCGATATAAAAAACGAGAAAGATAAAAGTAGCGCTTTTTGGTTAAATCCTTCTTTATAAAAGCCACTAAATTATAGTTTATTATAAGTTTAAGGTTTGATGATATATATGTTTACTAATTGTAACCATAATCGGAATATATTATACAGGGTATTTGAAAATTTGTTGTTAGTTTTATGTACAAAATTTAAACTCATCATTGTTACATAAACATATACCAAATATGTCATAAGCAATAAAAAAATTGTCAGTTTATACTAATACACCTTAAGGCCAAACCCTGTATAACTTAATTGTATGTGTTAAAAGACACAGAAATTAGCAAATAAAAAGTATTTTTCGTGACACTCTTTGATAGACGTATCTAACAACTGGTTTTGATCAATTTGGTGTTAACAATATTTAAGGAACATTTTTTATTTCTCGATTTTACTATGTCAAAAACGGAATTCATAATTTCAAATTTATAAAAGTCGCAATATCTCTGGTTCTAATTCACGAAAATATATGTTTTTTATTAATTTGGAGTACCTCGTTGCATAGATTATAAAAATTCAATTATTAAATTTATGAATTGTTTATTTAATCAATTAATTGTGGTCAATTGTTAATGTGTGTGTCAATACAAGAGAAGAAACACAAACCTCCTCATAAACAAAGACGGGAACCTGTCGTAACGACAGTTAAGAAGTTGGTGACCTGGAAAAAGTACATCGAAGAACTTTTCTGGGACTACCGAGGTAACCTTCCAGAAATAAATTGCATGACAGGGCCATCAATACCAGAAAGCGAGATGAAAGCAGCTTTAAAACAGTCTAAGAATGGTAAGGCCACAGGTCCGGATGAAATACCCGTTGAACTTATTAGGGTGATAAGTGAAGTGAGCACGAAGAAGTTAACTGAACTGTTTAACGCCATATACGAGTCAGATAATATCTCAAAGGAATGGCTATTGTAAACATTTGAAACACTATCAAAAAAACGATCTGCGAAAACGTGCGAAGATTTCCGAACTATCAGCCTTATGAGTCATGAACTTAAGATTTTTCTTAAAATCATACATGTCAGAATTCCAGATTCCAGATTCCGCAATTCCATGGGTACACGTGATACACTTTTCACCTTACAAGTCCTACTTCAGAGATGCCGCGATGTCAGTTGTAATGCCTATATTTGCTTTATTGACCACGCCAAGGCATTTGACCGTTGTCAGCACCAGAAGATAGTCTCCGCCCTACAAAGAGTAGGATTGGATGAGATTTATACTGGAACCAGCGTACTCAAGTCAAGGTCGAAGACCAGCTGACCGAAAAAGTGAAGATTATATGAGGAGTAAGGCAAGGTTGTGTGCTCTCGCCGACTCTTTTCAATATATACTTTGAGGAAATTTTTACTGAAGCCTTTAAAAACCTAGAGATGGGAATCAGGGAAGCGATGGAAAGCCTCACTAGACCGAGTGAGAACTGTGAGCGTAACATACGAACTAGACCTTATAAGAAAACTAAATTCATGGTTCTCAGTCATGCAAATTTAGATCCCGGAGCCCTAATGGCAGGTAGCGAAGAGATCCAGATACCTCGGAACTACCCTTATATAACAATGGGACTACGCTCAAGAGATTAGATCCAGAATTAAAACGGCACGGTCTAGATTTATCAAGTTGAGATACTTGCTGTGCTGCAGTGATCTCAGTTTGGGAACCAAGATGCTAGATGCTGGATAGTGAGCTGCTACATTCTTCCAGTCATACTATATGGAGTTGAAGCCTGGAAACTGACGCAAACTACTGAAAAGTGGATTAAAGCCTGCGTGATATGGATCTATAGGAGGATACTAAAAATATCGTATGTAGACCATGTCACCAACGTTGAGGTCCTACAGCGCATGAGAAAAGAAAAATAAGTGCTTAATTTAGTGAAACAACGTAAGCTTGAGTATCTCGGCCACGTGATGCGGAACGAAGAAAAATATCAAATTCTTTAACTCGTTATGCAGCTTGACAGGAGAGGACAGGGACGCCATCGTATCTCGTGGTTGAAAAACCTCCGACAATGGTTTGAGATGACCTCCGCGGAGCTGTTTCGCAGAGCAGTCAGCAAAACCGTGATAGCCTTGATGATCGCCAAATTAACAAAAATATCTTTACAAACTTTCATTTTAAATGATTTTCTATGCTTTTTAGTAAAATTGTATTACTTTTTACATATTTATTATCACCAAATTTTATCTAAAAGCAATTATTAGATACCTGTATCAAAGAGTTTCGTAAATTGTTACTTTCCTGGTCTATAAAGCAGATAATAAACTTCTTCAGTATTTTAGAAGTTTTTGTTTTTTGGTAAGAATTTTTTGTGGTACCTCTACAAAATGTGCGTTGGAAAACAACTTGTCTATTAACTGCATAAAGATATTGACGTGTTTTTTAGTTCATTCTCTTAAAAGCTACACAAAAATAAATAGAATACCTACGAACAAAAACAAAAAAGACGAAATGGATAAAAATAGTACGGAATGTTTTGAAATGTAAACGTCAACATTTTGTTATTTGGCAAAAATTATTTTAAAAGTGAACTTTGAAATTTAACCTATATTAATAATTAAAGCTCTTTGTTACTTTGTTTCTAATATGTTAAAAAATCTATGATCGTGTGTTTAGAACACTACTTAAAATAAAATATACAATATCAACAACCAGTTTCCAAAATTACAAAAATAAGTTTTTTTCTTCAATTTTTAACAACCTTCCTATTTAGAGCGTTTTATCAGTCTGTGTTTCACAGAACTGGGAACAAAATACTGTGACATTTCATTTTTCTAGTGATACAGTATCGTCCAAATACATTTCAAGTATAAAAAATTATTCATAGAACTGAATAAGTTGGCAAAAGACAGCTAAAAAAGGGGGAAAAGGTATTTGGACGCCGATTTCATAATGTATCCAACTACTTATTAAAAATAGTTGAAAAGTTTTTGATAACATCTTTGAATCTATTTTCTATCAGTCGTTTTTTCTTTATAATTTTGTCTTCCATAGTTTTACTATTATCAAATAGCCAATTTTAACTTTTTTGATAATAATTAGTATACAGGGTGCACGCTACAATGGCAACACACTTACACATGTAGTAGAAGTCAATCTAATAAAAATAGTTTTAGTAAAAGCAGTTATTAAGAATATCTCTCGTGTTTAAGGCCTCTTTTAGACCTTTATGTAAACACCCTGTAACTATTTTTAAAAGAAAAAATGGCACAGACTTAAAAGACATACTTCGGCTCTATATAATAGGCCTCTAGAGATCAAAATAATCAGGTATCTTCAGTGCATCTTCGCTTTTCACAAAAAATCCTAGATCTCAACAGATTTGGCATATGAGTTGTTTTGCTAATAGACATATATATGTAATAAATCATCTAATCCCTAATACGAAGAGTCTTTGACTCTCTAGTAGGACTAGAGGTTATTGTTAAAACAATTTTCATGAGAAAAAGACGTCAGTTTAAGTCGGAGGGGTAATCATTAATTGAAAGCCTTCAAAAATTATTAAAATGCAAAGTTAAGATAATACTGATGGCACAATTAAAGAAAATATCGTTAAACAATGAATTCATGAAAAAAATGACTTATTTGGGCACCAAATAAATTACCTACAATACTTTAAAAGAAATAATTATAGTACAGCTACGTGATTTAGTTGAAATAAGAAAAAATAGTTTGACAATTCTTTCATTGAAAAGCAGTACTGGATTTATCTTATATTTGTCTATTAAATAAACAACTCTTACCGTTTGGTAATATTAGGATGTACAAAGATAAAATCTGATCTTACAATTTGCAATTTAGGGTTAAAATAATCTTCAATGAACCAACGTAGACATTGCTGAGCGTACCTAAGTGAAGACCTTGAACCACCAATGTGTAACCTGTTGGCCTCGACAAAATTTACCCTGGATCCTACTCGAGTTGAACGATAATGATCCTGGTCTCTTCGATTTCTAAATCACAGTAATCTTGAATGAGTAGCACACATTCCCCGGGCCGCGGCCCGGTTTCGCCTTCTCAAAGCGTCGTCGTGACGACAGGGGGAAGGCTCATAGCGTCCTCGCTGGTCACCGTATGGCTTTGGTGTAGATGCGGCGCCACCTGTTGGTGCGGGTGGAGGTGGTGGTGGTGGGAGGTCTGCTGCGAGGTCTGCTGTTGAACCGAGGACGAGGTTTGGGACGAGCTGCTACCTAACTTGCTTTCCTTCTTCATCCTCTGCTTCAGATGCACCTGGAACAACAAGAACTAATATTATAAATATGTACAGATTATACTTAACTTTCCAATATAAGATTATATATTTACTTAGTAACATACAACTAGAATTACACATATATTCAATACATTTAGTAAACTTATATTCTAAAAGTTGTATTCGAAGTTTTTGAATGAAGTTTCGAAGTTTGGAGGAGTAGTAGGGAAAACAAATTATAAAACCATCGTAGAATAGAAAAAAGTAAGGATTTTTAAAAATTAAGAAGATATCGTTGTAGTAACTTGGTCATATTGCAATGGATCGTTAATAGTTTTGCTGCCCTATAATCAATTAAGAAATTAAAGAAAACTGTTAATCGCTAGTAGGCAAAATTTATAACAAAAAAGATATAGGTACTCAAAAGACTTTAGAAGATGTCAACAGTTTTTCTTGAAAAGTTGGATTGCCAACCCAGAAGTGAAAACAAAGACTTCTTATTTTTTTAAACTATGGTAATCTATGCTACCATATGCTATACAGCCAATCACTGGGCATTTTTTCTTTATAAGTTAAGATATAGGAGCATAAAAACAAGGTCAAACAGAGAGATGTATCAATCTCTCTCTGTTGTCCCATTCTCCATCGTTTAGACCTCTCTTACTCACGGCGTCATCTACTTCGTTTCTCCAAGATCTTCGGGGTAATCCTCTTTTCCTCCTTCTTATGGGGCTCCATTCGGTTATTCTCTTTACCCATCTGCTGTTGCTAGTTCTTCTTACATTTCCATACCACTTTAATCTTTTTCTTTTTCTATATATGTTAGTATGTCTGTTTCTATTGGTAGTCATTACCTCTCTTATACATTCTTGTTATTCTGCAGCATGTTCGCAGACATTCCATCCCTGTTGCTACTATCTTACTGCTGGTTTTCTTGTTTATAATTCAATTTTCAGCCTCATAGGTTATAATACTTAGCAATAATGTTTGTCCTAATTTTTGCTTAATTTCTTCCTCTGTTATTGCCTTTTTCGTGATTGAAAACCCCAAGTATTTGAATTTATCCTTTCCATTGAGTGTTACGTTGTCGTCAATCTGTAGATCTTCTGTGTCTTCTTCACTTGTAGATAGATACTCTGTTTTCGCGAGGTTTATATCTAGGCCAGCCTTGGTATACTCTTCTTGTGTAACAGAGGTCTTCTTGGTCTTGTGCAATCACTACTTGATCGTATGCAAAGCTTAACGTATATAGGTATTCGTTTCGTACCGGTACTCCCACGCCTTCGCATTTTCTTTTCCGTTTAGTCAAAACTTTCTCTAAGTATATTTTGAATAGGGTTGGAGATGTGGAACAACCCTGCAGGAACCCTTTTGTTGTAGTGAAGTCTACTATGATTCTTGTTCCCATTTAATTGGACAATTTATTTTCTTTACACAAAACTGTTCTCATTTTCCTATCTGTTATTTCTATTTCTTATTGTGGGGATCTGCTTTGTCTTCGCCTGTTTTCCAGAACTAAAAGCAAATAACCAAAGCTGCAATAAGCAATATTAGTGATAAACTGACTGAAAGGACAATAATTTTTTGTCTAAAAACAAAATCCCTCGTTAAATTTATTGACGTACGCATATGAGCGCTATCAGGCTTTAATATCCAGCTTACGAAATCTACTGAAGTACTACACAATATTGAATCTAAATTAAATCCATTGTCCCGTTCTCTATAAAATATTTTTATTACAATCGTATATTTATCCAGTTTGACTTTATATTCAAACGCACTACAATCAATCCAATCGAAAGGTGTAAATAAAAAAAGGCGTTTTTATAGGTAACTGATAATAATATATGTAACGAAACTTCGAGACGAGATCGAGCTCCAACAGGTTTTAATCATAGTTCTTGGAATTTTTGTTAAACGACCAGGTAAAAGTTGACATGTTCATTAGACAGTGGAAGTTTGACTCACAGATTGATGAGTAATATGATTTATAACATTAAATTAGCCAGAACCAATTAATTTTGTAAACAAAATAAATTACTAAGACTAGTTTTTATGATATAAATGAGAAAGCTCAACGTTTGTATGTTCATGAACTAACAAATAATACAACACAATCCTTTAAAATCAGGCTTTAATTTACATGTTATAATCATTCTGTCACTGATGCCTTTTAAATTTTTCTTCCGCCAAAAAAGTATTTGTTCAAAATGGGTTCTCTGCTTGCCTCTCATCCGCGTAACAACCTTTAGTTGTAGCATAATGACTAACTTTTTTATTTCCTTTTTGTACTTATCACGTTTCGGTACTACATATTTTATTTTACTAGTACTAATAGTATATTTTATCTCTTTTGTAAATCACATTGTATGATTTGTTTTTTTTGTCTTGCAAGTATGACCAGCTTTTCTGATTAAGGAATTCGACTTTGGCGAGAGGTACTTTGTAAAGCCGGGATCCAACGGTGCGTGAAATGGCAATACTTACTTGAAGGGTTGAGTTTCAAGGTTAGCGCGACGAAATGTAATTGGGCCATTCCCATTGCACGTGGGGTATATAGGTAATTGTTGCGCATCAACGTCCGACCTCTTTTGAACCGCGTTGATTTCTCTACAAATCGCGCAGACCGAAGATTGCCAAGTCTGCCTATTCTTAAATTGCTACTCCACGCGCCGTTGGATCCCGGCTTAATGGTGATTTATACGCGAAATTTAGAGTCCATATTTTAGAATTGTTTCTTTCTGGCATTTAATAATGCCCCAGTTGCAAACGAAACTTCTGAAAGAAACAATTCCAAATAAACGCGGTTACAATTGAACTAGGAATTGTAGTTGGTATGTTCGATATAAGTATCACCATAACTAATTTCAGATATAGAGTAAATCACTAAGAAACTAAAAGAAAAGTTTGATTTTATAACACCACCGATATATTTACTCATTGTAATATTAAGTGGCTATTACTCTGTGATTGAACCCCTTTTATAGTTCTTTTCTGAATCTCGATAGCGCTCAACACCTCTGCTTACGAAATATTTAATATTTTTCGGAATGGCCAAACATAAAAAGGCTTTTCCATAGTCTCTTTCCTGATTCTAAAATCCATATTTATAATATGTTCATTACTATGACATACTTGAATTTATAATAACAGCTTTATCTATTATTGCTCTTCAGATGACTCCAATAGCTGCTTTAAATGAATTCGTGTATATTTTACTGTATCACTGTAACTTTTTATTAAAACTCTTTTGCTGTTTGAATATATTTTGCCAAAAGTACAGGGTTTCCCATAGGGACGTCCTGTTTTTGAAATGTCTTAGCGGCCATTTTGAAAATGATGGAACTGTCACTTTTTGACGTTTGTATTTAGTATACTCTAACAAATTACCATGGCAAGATATACGCTTGAACAACGTTTGGAAATTATCCTAAAATTTTATGCTAATAATCGTTCTTTTGTGAATACCTATCGTGCATTACGTGAAAGTTATGGACCAAATGATCGTCCTGATGTGCGTGTAATTCGTCGAATCGTGGAAAAGTTTGAACGTGAATTTACTTTGCAGGATACGAAACCACCAACTAGACGCCGAAATGCAAGAACTCAGGACAATATTGCTGCTGTAATAGCCAGTGTAGCGGAGAATGCAAATGTGTCCGTAAATCGTCGTTCTCAGGAACTTGGACTCGCCAGAATGACAACTTGGCGAATTCTGAGAAAAGATTTAGGCCTACACCCTTACAAGATTGTTCTGACTCAAGAACTGAAGCCACTTGACCATCATAAGCGTCGTTTGTTCGCTGATTGGGCTCTAGACAAACTCGAAAATGATGGCGATTTTTTCAAAAAAATAATCTTTTCCGATGAAGCTCATTTTTGGTTAAACGGCTTTGTGAATAAGCAAAATTGTCGTTTTTGGAGTGAAAATAATCCACATGAGATTCTTGAGAAACCTTTGCATCCAGAAAAAGTCACTGTGTGGTGTGGTTTATGGCATGGTGGCATCATCGGACCTTATTTTTTCGAACATGGTGTAACAGTTAACGGTGAAAGGTATCGAACGATGATAACGGATTTTTTGTGGCCTCAGTTGGATGAAATGGATTTGGATGGCATGTTTTTTCAACAGGACGGTGCCACATGTCACACTACTGCCCCAACCATTGATTTATTGAAGGAAAAGTTCCCGGAAACATTGATTTCTCTTGATGCCAGAGATCCCAGGAGAATTCAGCAACTTCGACCAGATGCTTGGCCTCCAAAAAGCTGCGATTTAACACCATTGGATTATTTTTTATGGGGCTATCTTAAGTCATTGGTCTATGTGAATAAACCACAATCCATTGAAGACTTGAAGAGGAATATAGAGTACACCATTCGTGAGATTAATGCGGATATTTTGCATAAAGTGACCGAAAATTGGGTTCATCGGATTCGCTCCTGCAAACGTAGTAGAGGGGGACATTTGAATGATGTGTTATTCAGAACATAATTGTTATCTATTATATTTTGCAATAAACTTTTCTTTTTTTGATTTACAGCAATTTTTACCGTTTCGTTAAAAAAAACATCAGGACATTCTTATTGGGAGACCTCTTATATAATAGAACTGAACAATTCACAGTCCCTTTTTATTTATAAAATAGATCTGACACCCTCTTTTGTGATTTTAATCTTGTATACTTCAATCACAAATGCCATTGTTTCTCTGAACACAAGAAACTGATTGACAGATATAAAAATTGAAATTACAATACAAGATCCGTACAAGAAAGCAGCACAGCTACAACTGATGGCAAATTAACTTCTTAGGAATATGAAATGAGATGTTAAGATTGCACACAATAGTGTAGTGTAAAGATGGAATTTAAGATTGGTATATTATTTAAAAAGAAAAAATTGGTTTGGGATCTAAACATACTTTTGGTTATATTTTTAAGAAAGTAAATAAATTTTATATATCGGTAAGATAGCCAAGTGGGACAGATGGTCGACTAGAAGTCGCTTCAGTCCCGAAATGATCAATAGTATAATAGTTTAAAATTCTAAATGAATCTGCTCCTTAGACTAAAATACGGTTGGTGTTTGATCGGTCTATGGTGGAACCACGGCAGCCTACAGAAAGAGATAAGGGCTCAATAAGGGCCCAAAAGCATCTACATTGGATAAGAAAAAACATAACAATGAAGACTTATTAGTGATTTCAATAAAAAAGTTGATCATTATGTTCAAATTCTACTATTATTATTATATCTTGTATACAGTAGGCGAAATTCTAGTGGGACTTAAAAAGGGTAGATTAATCTTACAAAAAATAAAGGAACGTAGCACTAACTCTACTTAGCCACTACATTGCCGGTCTAAGATTGTATGAGCTCTTCATGACTCCGCGCATAGCAGAATGGTTAGATTTGTGCTGCTATGACTGCACTCAATATCTGTACATTGTTTCTTTGAGAAGTATTCGTTTGTACGATTGATAGGTTGCTAACTCTGCCAATTTCTTAGCAAAGCTCTTAGACAAATTGCTGGTAAGACACTACGAGACAGAGCTAGAAATACAGATATATGATGTAGATGTAGGGTGGAGAACATCAAGAACTGGGTAAGAAATAAAAGAGTAAAATAAAATATTCATATACTCTAAATGACAACGAGTAGAGGGCGATAGACGGTTCCCCAATAAGAAGACGATCAGTAGAAACACCACGAAAACGATGGAACGGCAATCTTACTGGAGGCAGATTGAAAAAACAGTCATGTCTAATAAATAAGAAAGAAGAAGAAGAATCAAATTGCGTGAAGTAACACTATCGTCTTCATTAGATGGAGAGATGGTTAGGAAAGTGTTGCTCCAAGTGTAACGCCAGAGAGCGTCGACAAACTTACTGCTGATATAAGATGATTCGATGATACAAAAACCCTGAGTAAACTAGGGTCAAATAAAAGATCGACCAAGTATTGCCAGAGAGCTTACATACAGCAGGTGTTATTGACTGCAGAAGAGTCGGTTTTCGGAAGAACGAAAAAAACTATGTCACTAAATGTTCGTATGATGTTATGGATGCTAGGAGTGAACAAAATTATAGGAATAGAAATTGCCAGAATGATAGAAATAAATAATGCCATTAAAATTATGTTCTGCAGAGTTTGGAGAAGTTGTTAAAGTTTATACTTTAACAACTTCTTGGGATGACATTTGACCTTGCACGGCGAGTTCACCAAATTTTATTACTCAAACTTCTAGGGGCTTCTATAGTAGTGTAAATGTAAAATCGAGACATAGAATTCTGCCCTTGCGTTAGCTGCCATCTTGAATTTAAAGGAAAGCTGTTTTTGGTCAATACCTCCGCCATTTTCAACTTTTAGACAAAAAGAGTAGGTACGGACTGAAATTGTTACAAATGCGTTTCCTATAATTATTTATTTACAAATTTTTTCGTGTGGTCAAGATTTTCCGATTAAAGGGGGAGAATAATGAGAAGATGGTGGGGCTAATTATTGAATTATCTCATTTATTATTAACTTTACGATATAAATGTACATGACCAAAAATGAAGAGAATTATATTTTTTTCCTTCAGTTTTTTGCTAGAATCACTATTTTGAGGTCGTAGGTTCGTTCCTGTTTATGCTTCTTACCTTCTACTTTTTTCCCTCTTAACTCGAAAAATATCGAAGGCACAAAAAACTTATAAGGAAAAAATTGTAGGAAATCGCATTTTCAACAATTTCAGTGTATACCACTTTTGTTAAAAAGTTGAAAATGGCGGAGACATTGAGCAAAAACAGTTCTCCTTTAAATTCAAGATGGCGGTTAACGCAACGATTGGATTTAGTCGAAATTTACATCGATTTGAAATTTAACACTACTATCGACACCCTCTAAAAATTAGGATAATAAAATTTGGGACAACTCGCCATGTAAAGCTAGGTCTTTTTTCGTCTACTCCGAATGAACTATACCGTTACTGAGTAAAGTTAAAGGCACAAGTAGGAGGTCACAACATATTCTATAAAAATTTCAAAAAATTCGCTGTAGACGATTAAAAAGTTACAAATACAAAATTATAAGTAATGAAAAGTGAGCATATCTTTATTCGTGATAGCAGAAGTCTAATAAAACTCATAAAAGCTTTGATAAGGTTGCTAGGCGTGCTAGCGCGTTCCCCTAAATGTGTGTAGTCTAGAGATTTCACAGTTAGAATTTCGACTTGGTTTGAAAATAGTCGTATTTGTAATAATTTTGTTCAAAAGTGAGTAAAAAAAATGTAAATTAGAATATTACCTTTGCGTGTCGTTTCTTCTCGTCGCTCCTCGCAAACTTTCTGCCGCATATATCGCACGAGAAGGGTTTTTCGCCTGTGTGTGTCCTAATATGCGTCGTCAGGTGGTCGGACCTCGAAAAACTTCTCATACAGATCCTACACTGGAACGGTTTTTGTCCCGTATGTATTCTGATATGTCTCGTTAGTTCATCCGACCTCGAGAACCTTCGATCACAGTTTTCGACGGGGCACGCATACGGCCGCTCGTGTACGGGGGTTTTGCTAGGCCTATTTGGATACTTTCGGGGTTTCACCGGTACGAGTTTCAGAGGAATCGGACTCTGTTGGTAAACTTGACTAAGAATCTCGTGACCCTTGCTCGTCGAAGGGTTGTATTCGGCTAATTGCACGTTGTAATTCGAACTAGAACTCTGTCCAAGATCACTACACGAGCCACTAAATGGTTCTTGTTTCGGAATGAGAGAAGATGGCCCTGGGATCACTAATGCACTAGAACTTTGGCCGCCATAGTCCTGACTTTCCCACTGGTACTTGGGCGTGCCCATTGGTTGGCCCACCCTTGAGTATACTAGATCTTGCTGCATATCCAACTGGATATTGGTACTGGTACCCGAACAACTTGGATAAGATGGTGGTTGTTTGAGTGCCAAGTTACTGCTGCAATCCGTACTGAACATGAGTTGATCTGTTTGCGACCTGTCATCGTATTGTGGTCCTGCCGGACTGGGTGTAGCTGACGGATACTGTTGTTGAGGGCTTTGCGATGAACCTTGTAGTAAACCAAACATCGACGGGTACATAGGTTTATCACCTGAAGATAATAACCATTGGTTCACTGCGGACGGCGAGTGAGCCATACCCTGATTGGGCATTCCTAATGGGCTGCCACTCTGCATCTGTATACTACCCGACATATTCGGACTGCCAGCTGATGTGTAGATGGTGCGGTGTTGTAATTTTGCCATGTTGTTGTTACTCGAATGCGGATACATACTTAAAGTACTGTGATTTGTGTTTTCTTCTTCCCTCAAACTCGGCGACAAAGCGGAATCCTGGGGCGTCGCACGCTCCGTGATATGACTGCTAGGCGAATGGTGTGGGCTGGTATGTTGTTGCTCGATTGACAATTCTTCAGGATCCAAGGAACCTGTAATAAACGAGATTAAATTTTTAATGAGTGTAAAAAGCAACTTAGGTAACATAAAACGACAGACTGCTGATATCGAGATTTCATTCATCTTGTGTTTTGTGAATGAATTTTTATTGTGAATTTGATACTTTTTCAGATAAAGAATTTCTATTTATACGACTTGTTTTTGCCTCGTAGAATTAACTTAACCTACATTTTACTAGGATATTTTATTCGTTTTTTTAATGAATGGAATATTCAAATTATTTCAAAGTCGCATTAGACTCGAGTTAAAACAAGTTATATTTTAAATGTTATTAGGCATATCAGATTTTTAAATTAGAAACTTATGCGCATAATATGTTTTGTCAATGGATTTGGCAAAATTAACAGTTGAAAGCTATTTTCTAATATATAATCATCTAAAAACATCTTAAAAATGCTATAATCATGGATATTTTGTAGATATCAAGTAGTAGAGGAAGAATAAATCATAGATTATTTATTCAAATTTATGTTTTTCAGTCAAAAATAAGAAATAATTAATAATTAATTTTAGGAACACGTTCTTAAAGAACAATACTTTATTAATCAGACAAGTTAATGACTTTTGCTGATAAATCGGACATTTTTGTCAGTCTGCAATAAAATATCATGTAAATGGAAACCAGTAGTTAGTTTGAAGTTTGTTCTTAGGCCAAGGTTCCAAAAAATTAAACCAAGTTGATGATATGATGATATGATTTACTCAAATTTAATTGTCTTTTGAATTAAATAATTTTTCTAAAATTTTTCGAAAATTTATATCAATAAAATTGAAATTTTTAAACTTTTTATGGTGGATAATGAACAAGGTCCGAAAGCATCATGATTTTAAGTTTTTTAAAAGTAACAAATTAGAGATAATAAGTAATAAGTTATATTATTTAGTTAATATTTAGTTGATATTATTTCCGCCTCATTTACTATCCTTCTAGTTACTTCCATGTTTGACATTCTTTGAATCCATGATATTCGTAGGATTCTTCTGTAACACCAAAATTCAAAGGCGGCCAACTTATTCAGATGAACTTGTTTTAGCGTCCAAGCTTCCAAGCCATAAAGAAGAGTAGAGAACGCGTAACATCGAAGCATTCTCAGACGTAGTTCTAACCTTATATCCCGACAACAAAGAAACTTTTTAAGTTTAATAAATGATGTACGTGCTATTTCAATACGTGTCTTAATTTCTTTGGTTTGGTCTACATCTGATGTTATCCATATTCCTAAGTATTTATAGTTATTAACACTCTCAATTGCAGTATCTTCAATAGTCAAGTGGATATTTGCATGTGCAGATTTAGTCATGATGATGCATTTATTTTTCTTTAAATTTATCTTCAGTCCGTACTCATGACAGCGTTCATTAAGGCGTTGCATTACGTTCTGTAAATCATTGTTGTTATTCGTAATTATTACTGTATCGTCTGCAAAACGTAAGTTATTCAAAACTTCTCCATTGATAGATATACCTTCTATTGAGTCTGAGAGCGCTTCTTGAAATACCGCTTCACTGTAGACATTGAAAAATAGTGGGAACAGCACGCAACCCTGGCGGACTCCTCTCTGTATTTTGATATTTTCGATGTACTGGCTGTCAACTCTTACCTTGGCAGTTTGATTCCGATATAAATTAGATATAATTTTCAGATCACGACTGTCAATATTTTTGCTTTTTAATATATCTACAAGCTTTTTATGTTGAACTTTATCAAATGTCTTTTCAAAGTCTACAAAACATAAGTACATATCCTGATTCATGTCCATGCATCTCTGAGCCAGCACATTCAAGCCGAACAAAGCATCTCTTGTACTCATACCATTTCTAAAGCCAAATTGTCTGTCACTAATCTCATATTCAACAGTTTTAACAATTCTGCTGTGAATTATTTTTAAAAATGTTTTAAGTGTGTGACTCATTAAAGCCATTGTTTTGTGGTTTTGTGGAGCAAGTTGTTGAACTTGGTTTTTTGGTAATTGCTAAAAAGGTTGATTGCAGCCATTGTCTGGGGATTGTGGCAGTCTGATATATTAGATTAAAGAGTTCAACCATTACATCAATAACATCTTCATCGATGAGTTTTAATAATTCGATGGGCACCTCATCTGGTCCAGTAGCTTTATCCTCTTTTGTGTTTTTGATGGCATAGATGACTTCTTCTCTTAATATTGGTGGTCCGGTATCCTCGGTGATTTCTAATGACAGTTCTTCTCTTTCATCATTAAATAGTTGTTGAATGTAATCGGTCCAGTGACATAATCTCTCCTTCATATCAGTAATAATATCCCCTTTATCATTTTTAAGGATATTCGTTTTTGTACGCTTTCTAGAACCTGTCATTTCTTTGATTTTTTTGTGTAAATTAAAGCTCTCGTACTTTTTATCCAGATCTTCTATTTCTTTGCATCTGTCGGAGAGCCACCTCTCTTTTGCCTCTCGAATTTTCTTTCTGATGTTTCTCTGAATTTCTTTGTATTTATTCAGGTCTTTTGCTTTATGTTTTCTTCGTTCTTCCATGAGTTCAAGAATTTCTACTGTCATTAAAGGTTTTGTTTTTTCTTTAAGTGGTTTGAGGGTTTCTTTTCCAACTGACACAAGGGCATGTTGAATTTTTCCCCATTTTTGTTTAATTTTTGGTCCCCCTATTTAGACTGATAGGGGGCGATAAAAGGTCCATTAAGCTATGGGCATGTTTGCACCTTCAACAAATTTAATCTTCACAGCATGATCATTATTCGGTACTGACTAGAATTTCTTATTTTCTAGGAAAATTTCTAAATTGCGTAGATGGGTAATAAGTGAGGGTGAAAAGGGTTGTTTATTAGTTACAAGACAGAAATTTGTCTTCGAAGAAGACAAAATGTGAAGAAAAAAAAGTTTTTTCACAATACAGAACACAACAAACACAATAGGCATACAATCACTATAAACAAATCAGAAATGAAACGAATACTTTAGTTAGACGAACAAAAAGAGAGCACTGGTAGAGCTTCTCAAAACAGATGGAACACGACTTCTACGGAACACAAATAGAAATATGGAGAATGATCAGAGGACAAAGAAAAGAAATTAACGAACTAATAAAAACGAAACACATTCCGAAGGAAACAGGTAAACTACTTTCGATCCAATTTTGCTAAAGATGACCACAACGAACCACTAACACTAGAGGTGACGGCAAACAAAGTCTGAGTCCCCTATTGTTCAACCCAATTATGGATGAAATAGCAAAAAAAGTAAAATTTAAAAAAGGATACCAAATGCGAGAAAAAAAAATTAAAATAATCTGCTATGCAGATGACGCAATTACTACTCTCTCAAACTGCCAGAAAAATTTAATATAACCGCCAGAAAATTTAACATATTAATGTCCCCAAAAAAGACAAAACGCATGGTTATAACAGCAAATTTACTAAGATGTAATTACATCTTGAAGGTCAGATAATAAAACAAGTAATGGAGTTTAAAAAACTAGTCATCACATTATCTGGCTACGGAAAGCTAGAAACAGCAGTATAAAAGCAAGTGAATAGAGCAAATAGAGCATCAGGTTGCCTAAATGAAAAAATTTGGAGAAATAGAAAGGATTTCAGAAGCAGCAGAAATGAAAACACTTGATGACAAAACATTGTGGGACAGAGCTAGAAGTACAGATATACGGCGTAGATGCAAGGTAGAGAACATCCAAGGCTGGGTTAGAAATAGAAGAGTAGAATGGAACGATCATATAAGCCGAATGAACAACTAATAGAGTAGTAAAGACGGCAAGAGATGGTTCCCCAATAGGAAGACGATCTGTAGGAAGACCACGAAAACGATGGAACAACTTATTGGAGACGCATTGAAAAACAGACAGAGTTATGACTACATAAAAAAAGAAGAGGAAGAAGACAGAAATTGTGAGTGAGAGTTGGGTTCAGTTATAAAAACGGAATCTTTCAAAAACATGACAGTTGTTTAAATTTAGTCTCAATATTGTTCCTGTGGTGTGCAGTACGGCGAGAATGGCCCTTTACTTGTAATCTTGGATGCGACACAATTGTCTCTAAGTCCTGGACTTGTGCTGCTGCCATTGCACTCTTCCATCTTTTCCATTGGTTTTCTTTTGACGTTCCACCCTACATATGACTCTCTGAATCAATGACAGTCAATTCAAATTTCTGGAACTAATATTCAGGCAGATGTTTCTTTGAAATATTGGTAAAGTGTACAGCTGTATCTAGATTTCCATATTATACATATTTTCAGTGATCTTCCTTGAATTTTTTCTCTCGAACACTTCTAATTTTTTTTTGTAATTGCTAACATCTAATGACGTAGTATAAAATCTTATAATACTTTTTTCGATCTTGATCTTCTTTTTCTGGGCAGCTTTTTGGAGCGCAGAAATTTCTGCTTCTTCTCTTTTTGTTATTTAATTTAATTTCTTAGGTATATATTTAAGAATATTTTAGTTTTTACTTTCTTTCCTCATTAAACCTTTTTTGTTTCATTTCCCGTCTCCTATGGTAAGATGGCTTCATCTTTTTAGTTTCTCCAGAATTTTCGAGGTCGTTTCCTATTCTGTCATTTTTGTTAATTGAAGGCATCTTCAAAGACATTCCATCTTTGTTGCAGCTATATTTCTGCTGATTCGTTTATTTATAAGTAAGTTTTTCCACTGTGTGGCTTAAAAATTCATATTAATGTTTTCTATATATAAACGTTTCTACTTGTATTTAGCTTTCCCCTTTATTAGTACTTCAATGTATACCAAAACTTGTATATAAAAGAAAATATATATATATATATATATTATATATATATATATTATATATATATATATATATATATATTAAACAATATTAATAAAAAGAAATACAGAAAAAATATTGAAAATATTAAAAAAAAATAAAACAAAAGAAAAAAATAAATAAAAAAATTTAAAAAAGAATTTAAAAAAAATTAAAAAAAAACACTGCTTGCGGAATTGGATAAT